TGAGGTTTTACATTTAGGCATTTGATCCACTTTGAGTTTATTTATGTATGTGGCAATAGGTAGGGATCCAGTTTCATTCCTCTGCACGTGGTTAGACAGTTTTCCCAGCACCATTTGCTAAATATGGTCTCCTTTCTCCAGGTTGTTATTGGTGGCTTTGTTGAAGATGACTCCATGTTTTTTCTTTGAGAATCTCTGTCCTGTTCCATTGGTATATGTGCCTCTTCCTGTACCAATACCAGGCTGTTTGGTTACTGTAGCCTTGTAATAAAATTTTAAGTCTGGAGTGTGGTACCTCTAACTTTGTTCCTTTTGCTGAGGATTGTCTTGGCTATTCACACTCTTTTTTGTTTCCATGTGAATTTCTATATTGTCATTTCTAAGTCTGAGAAAAATGATGTTGGTAATTTGATAAGTATTGCATTGAATATGTAGGATGGATATCTTGATAATATTGATTCTACTAATCCATGAGCATGGAATATTTTTCCATTTGTGTCATTCTTGATTTCTTTGAGGAGCATTTTGTAGTTCTCATTGTAAAGATCTTTCACTTCTCTGGTTAGATAGATGCCAAGGTATTTCTTTTTGAGTGTGTATGGCTATTGTGAATAGAACTGTGCTTTTTATTTGGTTCTCCGCCTGTTTTTGCTAGTGTATAGGAATGCAACTGTTTTTTGCACATTAATTTTGTAACCTGAGACTTCACCAAAGTGCAAGGAGGCTTCTGACAGACTTCCTAGGGTTTTCAAAGTATAGAATTACGTTGTCTGCAGAGACGGATAGATTAAATTCCTCTTTTCCTGTCTGGATATAGCTGACTTTCTTCTCTTGTCTGATTGCTCTGGCTAGGACTTCCAGCACTACATTGAACAGGAGAGCTGACAGTGGGCATCCTTGTCTTGTTCTTGTTCTTTGGGGGAATGCTTCCAGCTTCTGCCCATTGAGCTAAATGTCAGCTGTGGGTTTATCATAAATGGCTCTTACTGTTTTGATGAATGTTCCTTCTATGCCTACATGCTCAAGGGTTTTTATCAAGAAGGGATGCTGGATTTTGTCAAAGGTTTTTTTCTGCGTCTAATGACATATTCACGTGGCTCTTGGTTTTACATCTGTGAATGTGCTGGATTAAGTTTATGGTCTTGTGAGTGTTGAACAAGCTCTGCATTCCAGGAATGAAGTCCACCTGGTCACAGTGGATGACCCTTGAGATGTGCTGTTGGATCTGATTTGCTAGAATCTTGTTGAGAATTTTTGTGTCTATGTTCATCAAGGAGATTGGCCTGCGATTCCCTTTCCTTGTCAAGTCTTCACCAGGTTTAGGTATCAGTACGATGTTAGCTTCATAAAATGAGTTGGGGAGAATCCCACTGTTCTCAATTGCATGGAATATTTTCAATAAGAATAGTATGAGCTCTTCCTGGTATGTCCTGTAGAATTCAGCTGGGAAGCCATATGGTCTGGGGCTTTTTTTGGTGGGGAGATTCCTTATGACTGAGTCAGTTTCCTGAATCGTTACCGGTCTGTTTAGTTTTAATTGTGTTTGTTTGTTTCAACCATGGAAGGCTGTGTGAGGTCAGAAAATCCTCCATGTCCTTTGGGTTTTCTAGCTTATTTGCATATAGGCATTCATAGTCATCTCTCATAATCATGAGAATTTCTTCAGGGTCAGTTGTGACTTTGTCTTTTGGGTTCCAGTTGTGTTTATGTGGACTGTCTCTCTTCTTTTTAGTCAATCTGGCCAGGGATTGTCAATCTTACTCATCCTTTCAAAAAACCAGATTTTTGTCTTGTTGATTCTTTAATATTCTTGTTTTCTATATCCTGTAATTGTGTTTTTATCTTGGTGATCTGGATTCTTCTGCTGAAGTTATGATTTAGATGATTTTGCCTTTCCAGCTCCTTTGGGTGTGACGTTAGGTTTTTTACTTGTGATCTTTCGTTTTTCTTGAAGTGAGCATGCAATGCTATAAATTTTCCTCTTAACACTGATTTCATGGCATCCTAGAGATTCTGATAAGATGTGTCTTTGTTTTCGTTTGTTTCCAGGAATCTTTTTATTTCTGTCTTGATTTCTGTGTTGACCCAGAAGTCATTCAGCAACATGTTGTTTAGTGTCCATGTCTTTGTGTGTTTTGGGGGAATCTTGTTAGTGGCAATATTTATTTTTATTCCACTGTGATCTGAGAAGATGCATTGCATTATTTTGATCTTTTAAAATTGCTTGACTTATGTATAAGAATGTGATTGATCTTGAAGTATGTTCCATGTGCTGATGAGTAGGATTTATACTCTGTAGATGTCTATTAAATCCATTTGATTGAACATTGAGTTAAGGTTCCAGATCTCCTTGCTGGTTTTTTTTTTTGCCTTGATGACCTATCTAAAGCTGTCTGTGGAGTATTTAGGTCTCTACTATGATTATGTGAAAGTCAACGTCCTCTCTTAGTTTACTTAGAAGTTGTTTCATAAAACCTGGTGCTCCTCTGTTGGGTGCATATAATTTAAGATGGATATTTCTTGCTAGTGAATTGAACCTTTTATTATCTAGTGTCCTTTTTAACTTTTGATGGTTTGAAGTATGCTCTGTCTGATATCAGAATAGCTACACCTGCTCTCTTTTGTTTTCCATTTGCCTGAAAGACCACTTTCCAGCCACCAACTTTGAGCCTGTGGGTGTCCTTTGCAGTGAGTTAAGTTCCCTGGAGGCAGAAGGGAGTAGCCAAAGTGTCTTAGGATCACTCACTGGGCGGGGCTTCCATTCCTGTGCAAGTCTGGAGTATGGTGGGGGATGTGGTACCCAGATTTCCACATCTGCCATTGCTTTTTGGTCTCTATGTATTCAAAGACAACTTGGCTGGATGCAGGGTATTTCACCTGTACAAAAGTTTTTCGAGGTGTCTCTGTCTATCCGTGTCTCAGTCTCTCACCTCTGCCTTACTGCTGCTCCATGATGGTCACTTTGGATTCTCCGTTCTTATTTTCTCTTAATTGGTCCACAAAACACAGACAGCATCTAGGATCCCAACCCCATTGCTCCCTGTGGATTAATCTCATCTGCTCAACTTGGCTCTGAACATTCAGAGGTTTTTCTGGATTCTGCCAAGCACAGTACAAGCCTGAGAACCTGCACACTGAAGACTGACCTACTCAGGGTAATTTCAGACTCAAGCAGCATAAAAGCGATCAAAGAACTGGTCTAAGCAACAGCTGAGACTTGAGGCAATGGCTTAAATATATACCAGAATTCACACAGTAGCTTCTTGTTTGATATTCTTTTAGGGTGAAATAAAGAAAAGCACATAAATATTTTAACCAAGTATGTGCTAAATTAAGAAAAATCGCAATTAAAACATCTGAATGTAAGAGGTAACCTTAGGCTATATTTTAAGATGTCTTGAACTTCTTAGAGGGAAGATAACATTTAATTTTAATGTATCTAAATTCTGAAGACATTGCCCCTATAAAAATTAAGTGCCTTTTCTATTACAGAAAGAAGAAACTACACATTTTAAGGGAGGTTTCTTTAATGAAGAGATTCTGAGAGAATCGCAAGAACCTGGGTAATGCCAGGCATAATGGCAGGCCTCATGAGATGGTACCTTCGGATATATGAGCGGGTCTGAGTCCTATGCCTTTAGGAGGAAAAAAAAGATCTGAGGGTAGGCATGGGACAGGCCTTGAAGCCACAGTTTTTCTATCTTACAAACAAAGTTGTCTAATTACTTTATAACTATATTGAATACTTCTATTTTCTTATGAAAACACTGAGGTAGAATTATATATCTCATCCTTTTTAGTGTTTATATGATTTAAGAAAATCATATAAAATCATATAATCATGTAATTATTGGCCTGAGATATCAAAAAAATGATCAACAGGCAGTTGATAGAGCTAAGGGCAAAATAAAAATACCAGAAGGTAAAATTTCCTTTCAACATGCTCTGAAACCCATGGTCTGTCTAATAATAATTATATAATAATACTCCCACATCTGTAACTGCAATGTGTCGGGCACAATTCTAAGCATTTCATGTGTAATATCTCATAACTCCTCTATCAAGCAGGCACTCACATTTTACAGATGAGGAAACTGAATAAAGGGATCACTATATCAATTTAAATGATTATTAAACTGTCAAAAAGGAATGTATCTTATCACTTGTTGTAGAGTTTCATTAAGGATAGAATCTTGAATTAGATTTATACTACAATATAGCCTGGGTTTCTTCTTGGGTAGAGAAGTGTCTATGGCACAGTGCCTCGTTTAAAACCAATATAAATGCTGTACCTAAATAGATTATATGATGATTTACATGGATGAAAATGTCTGACATGATCTTGTCAATCATTCAGTAGTAAAGACATGACTAAACTCACCTTGATAATAATTAACCATCATGAAGTTACCTTGATAATACCTAACCATCATGAAATCTTACCCTTGGTAAGCTATCTATGGGACAAGCCCAAAGCTAATCACATATGTTTATATATTAAAAAAAAAAAAAAAAAAAGATTTTGCTAGACTAGTGGACTTTGTATTTTAATTGAGAGTACGGTTTGTTAGTCAACCATTTTGTCCACTTTTAATCTGTATGGAAACACAGTTCTAACTTATAACACTGCATCATAAAATCAGAGTCACAAAATTCTAAAAGTAAGACACATCGTTTAATTATTATTATTTTATTTTTAAATTTTTAATATCCCCAAAGACAATGACAGAACACACCATTTAATTATGGTTTCTGAAGAGTATTCCAAGTTGAGACAAGGCTTATACTTAAAGATTAATTTGCCTTCCTAAGTTTACTGTATTGGATCTCTGACTTCATCAACTAACCATCTCTTTAACTTCTGCCCATAAGCCCCCAAATAACAAAAGCCCTAAGAAAAAAAGAGAAGATGATAACAAAAGGTCTAAGAAAAAGGGAGAAGATAAAAGATTAAAATGAGGCACGGGGTTCTGACTGTTACTTACCACACCTGAGATTACCTTGATTTCGGGGGGAAGCGTGAGCCACCGAACTCCAGGGAGGTTGTCTAGAAGCACCGCGCTGGAAGCATCATACTGCTGAACACTGGGACTGGCGCTAGGATGGAGCCGAGCAGGCTGAAGTGCTCTTTGAAAGAACAAGCTGAAAAAGTGATCCAAACGAGGGGCATTCTCAGCCTGGCAGAAGGCGCTGTGAAGAAATGAGAGCGATGAGCCCGAACGACGTCGGGGAAGGCGCTCGCTTTCGGCGGGCTCCCAAGGGGACTGGGCCTCGCCCGGCGACACAGGCACGTCTCTCCTCTCCTGAGCGAGAACTGCTGCTAAAGAATGGATGGCATGTGTCCAGAAATTCACTTCCATGATTTCTACCCCAGTTAAAGCACTTTCTCTACTTTATGTCTTTATTTTTTATAATAGTGCATACATTTTTTTTTTTTACTAATTTTTTTTTAAGGAAGAAGCATCTATGTTAGGATAGTGAATTTGGCAATGGTCTGATAAGCAAAGAAAACCACAAAAACATATTTAAAATCGTACTCTTTTTTCATCTGTTATGAAGAAATACTCTTACATTTGCCCCTACAGAAATATGTCAAATTAGAATGTAGTTGTGGTTACATCACTATCGCACTAAGAAATTTCACTCAAGTAATATAGGAGACTAAAAAAAAGTTTTAATGAAAAAGGAAAAAAAAAACACTGATTAAATGAAAAACTGTCTAGTGTTGTAAAATAAAGGCCAGCAATAAAAGACGAGGAAAGAAGAGAAACCAAACAGCTAACCTGTCAGGCAGGAAATAGTCCTAAATGCAAAAGGGATTTTAGGATCATATACTTAAAACCTGAAATCCAAATCAAAGAAGCACTTACCTATCTAGAGAACCATGCATAAATTTTAAGGTATGGGCAACGTCTCCCATCATATTCCTTAGCCGAGGAAGAGGAACTCTAAAAAACATAAAAAATACACGTGTTCATTTATAACGCAATCAAATGAACCATGCCAACAAGAAGCAGAACATCTCTGCATTTTGTAGGTAAGGAAGGCAAAAAGTTGTATGCCAGCTGTGAGTAGAGCTGTGTACAGTGGCCGCTTACCAGGCGAGAAATTGATCCCTTGAGGTCTAGACTTGGGGTTCCAGCATGAATCAGACAGGGACTTTCTATAATGCTGTTTGTTAGTAAATTACTTAACCCTCTCTAGTATTCACCTTCTTCATCTGTAAAATGGAGCTGATAATCACTAAGGCCCTCTCAGCTTGATTTTGAGGAATAAATGAAATGAATGCATGGACTGGAGTGAGTGTGGTGCCTGGGCCCATAAAGAGGAACGTAGGTTTCTTGACACTCTCGGGCCCCACCCCAGTCTCAACGGACCCTCCATCTCTTGTGACAAAAACCCATCCCCAAATAAAATGGAGAAAGAAACGGACATATACTTTCTCCCCGAAGTCTTAAGAGAACTCTACCAGGTAGGTCTTATTGTTCCCGTTCTGCCAACGAATAAACTGAGGTTGAAAAGCAAGGTCCCGGAGGGAGGAGAGCCTTCTGGCTAGCGGCCGTGTTCTTAGCTCCAAAGTTACCCACTCCACCACCCCACACTCTTCCTGGTCCGGTCTCCGCTACTCACACAGCCACCCCGGGCGGTGATCTTCCCACCCACAACCCATGTCCCAGAATCACAGGCCCACTCCAAATCCTGTGGGACAGCGCTTTGCTCATTCTGCTTGCACAGGGCACAGGGGTGAGGAGGGAAAGGCATGGGCTGAGGCATTGGAACAGAGGAGCGGGAAGTCCCAGGCCGCTGGCACAATTACAAACCGCACACACAATGTTGCAGACACAAAGACATATAAAGTGACACAGAGGAAGCACCTTGCACGACCTCTCAATACTCTGTTTCCCAGCTGGAATCAATGAGAACGACAATACCTGTCTTTCAGGATTACATGTAAGGAGATAAGGAAAAGAATCGGGAACAGAGTGGTTGGTGCCAGCATTAAGAGACAGGAAAAGAGGTGGCTAGGAGTTATTTTTGCCCTGAGGCTTGGGCTAGAGAAGAAAGGGGGATTTGCATATGATTACAGCTTATCAAGTCAAGTTCTCCAGGACAGGAATGACATAAGTATCTGGGAGAGATGATGTCCTCCTGCTCTAAGCAATTGAGACTGAGAAACCGGCTAGAGCCACAAAGGGACGAGGCGGCACAACTTGGTCCAGCCCTTTTTCAGAACCAGGACAAAACCCCTCCTGAAAACGGTCTCTGTCTGCCCAACTGACGTGGCCGCTGTCATCGGGGTGTGGCTGAAAAGTTTCTGCTCTATCCTGTCGCCAGGCTTTCCTTCCACTGTCTAACTGCCTGCGCTCTCTTTATTTTACCACCGTGCTTTGTCTCTTCTCTTTTACCTTTTGGGCTGCCTCAGAGTCCTTTTTTTTTTTTTTTAAAGTTGGAGTCTCACTCTGTCGCCCAGGCTGGAGTGCAATGGCACGCTCACAGTCACCACAGCCTCGAACTGCTGGGCTCAGGCAATCCTTCTACCTCAGCCTTCCAAGTAGCAGAACCTAGAGGCACATGCCACCACGCCTAGCTAATTTTTTGATCTATTGTAGAGATGAGGTCTTGCCAAATTGCTCGGATTGGTCTTGACCCTGTGGGATCAGACAGTCCTCTCACCTCAGCCTCCCAAAGTGCCGGGATTCTAGGCATGAGCCACCACACCCCACCTTGCCTCGGAGTCTTAAAGTCAGTGTTTTCCTCTGCCACCACATCCTCAGTCATCCCATTCTGGATGTTCCCCACTCCATATAAACCCACACTTCCAAAGTATTAGCTCCTTAGTTCTTCATAATCCAACCCACTGGCATAGGGTAGTCTCCTAGTAAAGTTCATTATAATCCTCTTTTAGACAAAAAAAAAAAACCACACATTTTTCTGTTGTGTGGCTGGTTACAGAGCAATGCCATCTAGTACATGTCAGCACCATTATCTCTTCATATTAAAAATGCCGAACCTCACTTTTATGCTGGATTACATCTCTTTCTGCCCAAAATTAAAGTCACCTTCAAAACATAATCATTTTGACATTTTTCACTGTGGCCACATCTGGAGCTCCTGTTTGTGATGGCAAACTGTGCCCACAAATTCTCTGATACTCATCTCCTCAAAAAGTGGAGCTTAATTCCTCTTCCCTTGAGAGGGGGCTCAACTTAGCAACTCACTCCTTTCTTTTTATTTTATTTTAATTTTAAGGATGTGGGATACAGTTCAGGATTAGATATACAAATGGTTACTATACAGGTAAAGTTTGGGCTTCGCTTTGGTCCCCAAGTGACTATCACTTCTAACAAATACTATATGGGGAAAATGACGTGTATCACCTCCAAGACTAAGCCATCTTAGTGCTCAACATCAAGGCTCTGCAGCTTCTCACTCTTCTGTCTTTTGGATAATTTGCTTTGGGAGATGCTAGCTGACATGTTACAAGGACACTCAGGCCACTCTGTGGAGAGGTCCACATGCAAGAAACCAGGGCCTGACAATGACCGTGTGTGTGTAGGCCATGTTGGAAGCAGATTCTTAGCTCCAGTTAAGCCTTCAGATGACTGTATCCCTGGCCAACACTGAACTGTAACCTCAAGAAAGTTGCTGAGCCAGAACTACCCAGTTAGGTTGCTTCTGAATTCCTAAGTCACAAAAACACATCTAAGTTAATAAATGCTTACTATTTAAATTACCCCTGAATTTTTGGGGACAATTTGTTATGCAGCAATAGATAGCAAATACACTTCTTTTTTGTTTTGTTTTGAGTTAGGGGTCTCACTCTGTTGCCTAGGCTGAAGTGGCAGCCTCCCAAATAGCTGGAATTACAGGCATGCACCATCATATCTATCTGTTTTGGGGGGGTAGAGATGAGATCTCACTATGTTGTCTAGGCTGGTCTTGAACTCTTGGGCTCAAGTGGTCCTCCATCTTGGCCTCCCAAAGTGCTGGGATTACAGGTGTGAGCCACCATGCCCAGCTCTAATACACTGTTATGTAATGAAAGAAACCTGGTCAACAAAGTCATTAGTAATAGAAAACAGTCATATTCATGTTCAGATTAACTGGAGATTGTATTATTCTGATCCACCCTTTTCTATCTTGGGAAGCATAAAGCAATACCAAGAGAAAATGTATCTCAACTGGTATTCTCTAAATTTGCACCGGTCACATACTATGTTATTTATTTTGATACTTGATTACTATTCAGAAGACCATATGCTATAGTTCTATGGGGAAAACTAAAGTGTGCTTAATAGTTTGATAGAACTTGCCCAAGTACTTCTGAAACTAGGTTAGAGCCTCAATTGCAAGTTTTAAAAATCACTGAACAGAGACACAGGCCCATGTTAACAGTAGTTAAGTTCTTCTCCCAGGGCTGTTCATATCTGTACTCCATTTCACCCCTAGTTTTTTTTTTTTTTTTTTTGAGTTGGAGTCTCACTCTGTCACCCAGACTGGAGTGCAGTGGCCGCTCCCGGTCACCGCAGCCTCGACCTGCTGGGCTCCGGCGATCCTTCCGCCTCAGCGTTCCGAGTAGCTGGAATTACAGGCATGTGCTACCACGCCCAGCTGATTTTTTGATTTATTGTAGAGATGAGGTCTTGCCAAGTTGCCCAGGCAGGTCTCGAACCCTCAGGCTCAGGCAATCCACTCACCTCAGCCTCCCAAGGCGTGGGATTAGAGGCTGAGCCACCGAGCCCGGCTCACCCCTAGTTTTTAATGTCCTGTGACATTAGGGGAGCAATGTAGTAGAAAGAATTCAGACAGACCCTCATTCACTTCCCAACTCTGCCTCTTGCTGATGATGTAATCTTTGGCAAGTTGTTTCACCCTTTTTCAGTTACTCTCCTCTTCTCATCTGTAAAATGGAGCCAGTAACCACTAAGTATATCTGGAGCGGATTTTGACTGAATGAGCTTAATGAATGTAGTAGCTAACGCAGTCCCTGGATACAAGGCTGATCCATCATAAATGTCAATCCTGCTTTTATATTTAACTATTAAAATAAGATACATTTCAAAATGCTCACAAGAAAGTTAACAGGGAGACCATGATAATGTAAGACCTGCAAAGAGAGAAATCACTTTAGAGTACATATTCCTTATTTTGTCAGTGGTGCTCAACATCAAGGCTTTTGAAACCCTTCTGCTGACTCTTTTTTTTTTTTTTTAAAGGAAACTGGGCCATTCATGGCAACCACACGCAACCAGGTTTTTTCTTTTTTCTTTTTGCAGTATGATATAATTTCTATAATGTGTAGAAATATGTAACCAAAATTATAACTTGTTTAGGAACAAATACAGATACAATAAGTTGCATTAATTTGCTAGGACTACTGTAACAAAATACCATAAACTGGGGGGCTTGGACAACAGAAGTGTATTGTCTCACTGCTCTGAAGGCTAGAAATTTGAGATCAAGGTGTCTCTGCTGATTTAATTCTCCAAAATCTCCAACAGTAAAAAACAAAAAACTATGAGTAAGTAGAATCCAAATCCCAACACCATCAAAAGCTTGAACAGAAGGACAGCCCCTCTCAGTCCCCTCCACTCTGACTACAAGAGGAGAGTGTGTTGACAGCCCATCTGCCAATTGGGTCTGCCCGTGTTTGTGGGCTCCTCTGCATCCTTCCCGCTGAGGGTACATGGGTAATCATTTTACGGGTACAGGAGACATGTAAATTGTAAAACTGCTTAGGGAGTTCGCCACGTGACAAAAATGTCATCATTGTAATGTGATGGACTTTCTGGACATGACCTTAGAAGTGACTTTAAAGTACAAACGCCCCGACTCACTCTTCAGCAGGCAGGCCGATTAATAGCAGCTTGTCAGAGTCTTTCCAATAAGCCACATGGATTTGTTTTCCATCTAAAAGAAGGGATGAGCTGAAAAGAACCAAATTTAAAATACGGTTAGAATACCTTTATGTGTCATAAAATTATAAAAATCATTCATAAAAGATTGCATATGGTATGATTTAAGAACTGTATATTTAATAAACCAATCTTTTCTTTTTTTTTCTTTTTTTTTGAGTTGGAGTCTTACTCTGTCGCCCAGACTGGAGTGCAGTGGCTGCTCCTGGCCACCGCAGCCTCGACCTACTTAGCTCCGGCGATCCTTCCACCTTAGCCTTCCGAGTAGCCGGAATTACAGGCATGCGCTACCACGCCCAGCTGATTTTTTGATTTATTGTAGAGATGAGGTCTCACTTCCCAGGCGGGTCTCGAACCCGCGGGCTCAGGCAATCCACTCACCTCAGCCTCCCAAAGGCATGGGATTACAGGATGAGCCACTGAGCCCGGCTAACCAATTCTTTTCATACACTTACTTAACTGCCACACAGAAAACGTAAGACATTGTATGACACTGAAAATATATTTCATTTTATTTTTATTTTTTGAATCAGGGTCTCACTCTGTCACCCAGGCAGGAGTACAGTGGCACCATCACAGCTTACCTCAGCCTCTAACTTCTGGATTCAGGCAATCCTCCCACCTTAGCATTCCAAGAATCTGGGACTACAGGTATGCACCACCACACCTGGCTCATTTTTTACTTTGTAGAGATGACGTCTCCCTATGTTGCCTAGGCTGGTCTGAAACTCCTGGACTCAAGTGATCCTCCCACCTTGGCCTCCCAAAATGCTGGGATTTACAGGCATGAGCCAGCAAACCCAGCCTAAAAATATATTTAGAAAAAACATTTTAAATCCAAAAAGCTCTAGGTCAAACAAAAGTAGACTCATAGAAAAAAAGTTGAAATTATTTTGCTAGTAGTACATGACTAGACACAATTTTTTTTAAAAAGAAAGTTTTGATCCCAGTTTGTTAACTTAACAAATGTTGATCACCTAATTATGAACCTGATTTGCTAAAGAGATTACAAAGAAAGGATGATATGGCACCAGCTCAGAAGGTGACAATTAAATATGAGACACAAATACATAAACAAGTAGCCAAAACATGTTCTCAAGGAAACTTTTGGGGTAATAAGTAGATTTGCAATGGTGATGGTTTCAGGGTAGATACCTATGTAAAAACGAATCAAATTGTACATTTTACATATGTGCAGTTTATTATACTTCCATTATACTTCAAGTTGAAAAACAAATATTAATAAATGTACTTTGGTTGGGCTCAGTGGCTCAGCCTGTCATCCCAGCACTTTGGGAGGCCGAGGCGATTGGATTGCCTGAGCCCGCGGGTTCGAGACCCGCCCGGGAAACTTGGTGAGATCTCATCTCTACAATCAATCAAAAATGAGCCGGGTATGGTAGCGCACACCTGTAGTTCTGACTACCTGGAAGGCTGAGGCAGAAGGATCACTGGAGCCCAGCAGGTTGAGGCTGGGGTGGCTGTGAGTGTGCCACTGCACTCCAGCTTGGGCAATGGAGTGAGACTCCAACTCAAAAAAATAAAATAAACAAACAAACAAATAAATAAATGTGTTCTAAAAAGAGATACAATAGGAACTACAGAAATACCTAAAACATAAGAGTGCGGTATTTTAAATATGAATTATTAAATATATTTCTTTTCAAAAAGAACATTACTTTTGTCTTAAAGTTTGAAAAATGCACATACGTTCAAACAAATACTACTCTTTATAGGAGACTATTACTATAGTTTAACAAGTGTATATGCCACAAGAGATACGCACATTGCAAAGGAGTCCCTAAAATAATCACTTTCATATTTATTGCTTCCTCAATCAAGTTTTTCTTGCTGTCTTTACTGCTTTCCACATGTTTCCCATATCTTATTACTAATAACAAGATCTAAATCTGAGTAAAATAACATCTGTCCTTTACAGTTTAAAAAAAAGGGAAAGAAGCAAACCCACATGAAGAAAGTTAAAACAAATTTTCTTTTTAGTAAGATTAAACAGGAGGCTTGCACCATAAAAAGGTTATGCTGGAGTGATGGGGGAGGGACACAACATCCATAAGGGTACCTGATCTCAGACCAGGCAAAGTGGGGACCAAAGGGAGGCCCAAACTTTACCTGTATGATGACCCCTTGGATACCGAATCCTGAATTGTACCCGACATCTTTAAAAAAAAATTATGCTAAATGAAAGAACCCACATATTGAATGATTCCATTCATAGAAACTGTCCAGAACAGCAATGGAAAGCAGAGTTGTCTAGGGCTTGGCTGGGCTGACCTCAGGGTGCAGGACTGTTGAGGTGGGAAGAATGTTGTAGGATCGACTCTGAGGACAGTTGCACATGTCTGTGAATATTCTAAAAACCATTTATTTGTATACTTTAAATGCATTAATTACATCATTTATAAACTACATCTCAATTCAAGTTGTTAAAAAAACCAAAAAAAGCCTACAATATGAAGCCTCAGGTATTACTGTCTTGAAGATAAACGAGTATTTTCTCTAGACTCTAGATGACCAGTCACAGAGTTACACATTACTTTCATGTAGTGATACAAGCACATACTTCCTGCTGTCTTGCACATCCTGCATCTTTTAAGATCACGGATGCATCATTTTTACCAGAAGATGGGAAACAGTAAGGTAAAGTTCAGAAAATTCAACTAGCTACTTTATCAGCATTACAGGGGCTCTTAAAATTTGAGATAAAATTTCTTGGTAAACCATAAAATTGTCAAAAATCTGTTTAGATAAATTCTTAGCTTTATTTTATGAAAGAAACAAACAAAAACTTATATACTTCAAGCCACTCCTCCCATAAGTTAACACTGGCATTTCAAAGTCGGGCTTGATAAATCAGTGTGGAATGTGTATTTGACTCTAAAATTAGCTATATTTTTATTTAGGATACTAATAATATTATGTGTTCTAAATAAAAAATAATTTGATGTCAGTTTTGCTTATTTGTCACTGAATAAATGTCACGGTTGACACTGAAGAACTTGAAAGAAACAGAAGTGGAATAAAAATTATTACCTAGTTACTTGTGTCCCAGTTACATTTTCCAGCATGTCACAGAGTGTGAGAAAAATCCCTCTCACACGTTTAAGTTTCTGAGATGCTTCAGACATTGGATAATGATAAATAATTTCCTGCTGTTAAGTGAAAGGAAACAGAAATTATCAAACAGCCCACATTTTCCAACCATTATTTTTATCGTGGAAAGTTAAAACTCTGCATTAAGAAAAGCATTAAAAAATGAACCTTTTTCACTTCAGTGAGAGTTTTATTCAATCATAAGGAGAGAACCATGCCGGGAATTTTCACACATTAACTGGCATTTAAAATGCTACACTTGAAAATAAGTTAGAAGCTGTCAAAGTTGATCATGATGCCAAATAATATACTCAGGAGGATACCGATTACCTTGAATTACAATTAATTTCAAATACTGCTTTAAACTTTAATCTGCTTAACATGTAACTTGTAAGAGTCACTAAATTCAATTATTTTCATACTGACTTTTAAGAGATAATTTTTGTCATCTTTGGTAAAATTGTTAAATGTTTATTTAAACCCAGGACAAGACTGCGATTAAGCTTACAACGCGAGAATAGGAAACTAAATTAAAGTAGTATAGATAGGAAGAAAAAGGTACCATGATATTATAAAATCTGATCTGCCTTAAATTTGAAAGGGTTTAAGAAGTTTTAAAACTGAAAAGGGTTTGAATACCACAAAGTTTGAATCAGAACTCAAACTTTAAAAGTGAGCACATTTTATTTTAAATTGTGAAAAATTCTAGATGTATAAGATAATTCACAAAATGCCTTTATATTTTTCTATTTTAAAAAAGAATGTGTTCTCAGGAAATAAATAGTTTTTGCAAAATAAAATAATAACTTTTAAAATCAGGATGTGCACTATGCTAATACATTCACACAGATTCCATACCTCACTTTTTTGTTGTTATTTAAAGCAACATTTATTTTTCTTACAAGGCAAACTAAAAGGCAAATTAAAATGTCAAGATAGAAACCATGAAGAATTCAGAGTAGCTGCCAGTTTAGTGACTATATCCATAAATTATTAATACAGTCACCATTGAAAGCTCAAACTTCCTAAATATGATATATTTATTCTTTGGTTCTCTACTTCCCTAAAGAGTATTATATACCTTGCTGTGGTCTCGTGGTGCAATAAACAATTACATGACATAGTGTCCATGTCTTGTCAACTTTTACATTATGACAAATATAAACGAAGACCTGCTAGACACATCTGATTTTTATACTTAGGCACATTCAATACATGCAAATTGCTACGGAATGTGCTGGTCAAATGTACTCTGCCTAACAACTAAAATATTATTGCAATATTTCTGCTGTAAAAAGTTACAAAACATTTTTACTGTATTTTAACTCTAGAAATTAAGTCAAACATCAGTTACATCTACTTAATAGATCTGAACTTTGGCCAGTAAATAATTTTATTGTATTTAGCCAAAATGCCAAACATCATGTTAAACAAATAACCATATACTTTTTGATTTGTTTTTGGAAACCTCCCAGCTGATGGTCCTTATATTTCCAAATCTTGTAACTTGAAGAAAACAAGTTTTTAATAAATATGTAACTCAGAGAAAACAAAATCACCCCATGACATTTCACTGTGAATTGTCACATGAGTAAAAAAAGTCATTTGTGAAAGTCTCTATTGCAGTCATAAAAGACTCACTAGAGACCTGGCAACACCAAAGTTCTGAACCCATTTAATGAGCTGCACTTTCAAGCACTCATTAGCAGAATGCATTTACAGCATTTCCACTCTGGTCAACGAGAATTGAAAACCTCTCCTAATTACAGCGCTGATACAGGGCTGGCAGCAGACAGAAACCTGTTCATTTGAGAAACATCTACTTACTTTCCCATGGAAAGAAAGGCAAGTGTGACAAAAGGCCCACTCCAAAGCAACCTCAAAAGATTGAGGCATAAGCGTCCCAGAGGTGTGCTCTGTGTTTTACATCATACATGCTTAAAGGCCTCACTTGTTTTAAAAATATAAAGGAACTGGTAATACACACAAGAAGCTCAATTTATTAACTCTAAGTCTCTACTTTTCAGAACACAGAAAATCACAAAAATATGTTCAAGCAAATCCTTTCTTCACCATTTCAATTGTTTACTTGATTTTACATATGAAGCAGCACAAGGAAATGCATCCCTTGCATAAAATAACCTTAGTACTGAGAATACAGCTGAAAGGATTCTAAAAACGAGAGATGCAGGTTTGTTAAGACCTTTTCAGATCTCAGTCTGTTCCACGTACTCTGGTTGACTGGATGCTCCAAGAGGTGATCTGGCCTGCACATGTTCCTGGACTGCTGGCAGGCAAGAAGTGAGGTTTCCAAGGACACCGCCACATCCTGCCAACCTCCCTCCCCACCACTGCGGAGCAAGCCAGGGCCTCAGCTGGGAGTGCTAAGTGGGGGCAGGACAGAGGTAAGGTGTCCTGGGCTGATGTATGCGACAGCCTCTGTCAGGACACCAGCCCTGGGCTTGTAATAAGCAGGTGAGTGGCGCCCACCTGGGTGGAGTCCAGGCCCTCGAAGCCTGCAGTGCCCAGGTCTGTGGCAGACTCTGTTTCCTGCTTCCTTGCATCTGGAGAGCCCGTGTAACTTGTGCTAGCCAATGGAACATGTGAAGAAGGATGTCCCTACTTGCAGGCCAGGTCTCCACAAGGTCCCATGTGACACTGCCTGCACTGTCTCTCCTCTCACAGGTCAATTAGATGCAAAGGATCCAGCAGACAATGTCGAAGCCCTTGGGAACGATGGACCCTGGAACCACTGAGCCACATGACCAGAAACGTGTGCATGAAATGAGAACCTTTCATCATGTTAGGTCACTGAGACATCAGGGTTATCTGTTACAGCAATTAGCCTACCCAGAGTAATTCAATCTATCTTGATCAACACAATCTAGAATTATCAAACTCCCTTTCAAGAAGGGTTTAAAAAAAAAAAAAAAAGACATCATCAGACAAATAGCAACAAAAAAAATTTATCACCAACAGACTTTCACCAAAAAGAAATGCCTAAAATACATGTTTTAGGAAGAAAAAAATTATACAATTAGACAGTTTAAGATGTAAGAAGAAATAGTGAGTAAAGAATGCTATGCATAATTGTAAATTTAAACTAGGTCCCTCTGCATGAAATATATAATAGTTATATGCAAATACATTTCTATATAAATATAACTATAGGCAATATATAATTATATTACATTATATTTGATATTTATAGATTTTATAATATGTAATGTATGCATCTTATGTATAAATTTCAATAAGTATTCATAGTAGTAATAGTATAATGATGCACAATTTGTAGAAAAAGAGATAGCACTAAAATATTGATGACAGAGCACATAGGTGAAGAGGTGGGATCACTGGAGTTAAAGCTACTGAGGCTCTGAATGGTTGGGGCTAAGAGAGCGTATCACTTTAGAATCTACTGAGAAAAATATCATAATACAAATTTTAAGGGTAGACATTAAAAAATAGAAGGAGTACATAGCAAGAATAATGATATAAGCAACCAAAAATAGGTCAGAAAAAAAATCACAGTACAAGTAGTTCAAATAGAATTTTTTAAAGAAGATGACTGAAACAAATTCAAATATATGAGTGATCTCTATAAATGGACTCATTAAATTTGTCATGTAGACATTAGAGATTGCCAGATTGGAAATATGCTGTGTGTAAGAGGCATATCAAAGACATAAAGCAACAAAACGAAAGAAAAACTGTCCAAATACTTACAAAATAAAGCTCTACTAACATTAAATGTTAAAAATATTTCAAAATGTCAATGCTAAAAAAGGACTTCAGGACAAAAACATCATTAGGGTAAAGGAGGTAACATCATGTCAAAATGTCAATTCTCTGGGAAGGTTTAACAATTCAAAACATTAATGCAAATAAAAATGTCTCAAAATATATAAAGCAAAAAATATTCAGAACTAGAGGGAAAAACGGTCAAGTCCCTATCAGAGTGGGAGACTTCCGTATATATCTTTATTATGAATAGGTCAAGAAGACAAAAAGTCAATAAAAGAGAAATAAAATTTGAACAAAACAAGTAGCCTCAAAGCATCCATGCTGAATGTCAATCTGGTATCATAGAAAGGATACAGAATTTGGAAGGCAAACCATTTCAGTTTATGTAGAAATATTGTCAGTTACTAGCTATGCGAACTTGAGCATTTGACTTATCTTTTTTTTTTTTTTGAGTTGGAGTCTCACTCTGTTGCTCAGACTGGAGTGCAGTGGCCACTCCTGACCACCACAGCCTCACCTGCTGGGCTCCGGCGATCCTTCCGCCTCAGCCTTTCGAGTAGCTGGAACTATAGGCGCGTGCTATCACGCCCATCTAATTTTTTTTTGATTTATTGTAGAGATGAGGTCTCGCCAAGTTGCCCAGGCGGGTCTCGAATTACTTATCTTTACTAGGATTATTTCCTTATCTGCCAATAAAAACACTCAATATCTGATACTATGCCAGGCATAAAACCGGTCTTCAATAAACATTGAAAAATGAATGAATGAAAAAAGAGTATGTAAAACATTAAAACTATTTAAACCTATGAAAGAAAGTGAATGCCACATTCCCCTGCATTAAAGCTAGCAGGAAGGGATTGATCGTAACAGGACACAAAGGACCCTTTCTGACATGACAACAGTGTTTCATATCATGATTGTGACATCTTTACAAAACTGTACACATTTGTCAAAAATCAAGTTGTACGCTTAAAGCTATTGAACGGTATTATATATGAACAGTACCTTAGTAAACCTAATTTTAAAAAGCTACCAGGACCTTGGCACCTAAGTCCTTCCTCTTCCTGCTTGCTTGAGAAGACTCTCACCTCATCCTTGGATGTTTCCGAATCAAGCTGCAACGTGAGATACATAACGATATGTGGGGTGTCCAGGATACTCTGCTGGGTGTCTTCAACCTCTTCTCCCCAGAGAAGTTTGGCCAAATCACTTGTGTGCGACTGTGCCTTTTTCTGTTTTGGCTGGGCAGTTTCCTTTTTCACAGCATACGCATTTTCAAATGTCAGTTTCACCTTTAAAAATTAAAACAATATGTTGATTTTTTAACAACGAAAAATCAGGGGACATGATGGCTTATGCCTGTAATCCCAGCACTTTGGGAGGCTGAAGCGGGAGGATCACTTGAGCCTAGGAGTTTGTGACCAGCATGGATGACACAGCGGATCTTCATCTCAAAAAAGTTAAAAAAAAAGAAAAGAAAAATCAGCTGCATACACATGAGCTCAGGCATGTGCAGGATGTAGAAATCATCCCAGAGCAAGGGCTCCTGATGGCAGGGGCTGTGGATTCTATTTGTACTTGAATCTCCAGCTCCTGGCAATGTCTGACACATATGCTCACAAATGCTTATTAGGAGTAGATAACGGACCTTTCCAAGTCATTGGCTGTAGGGTCTGGTGCAGCCTAAGCCATTGGTCCTCACCAAGATGCTTCAGAGCATTATTAAAAATGTTTGGATCTCTAGGAAGCCCTACTATACAGAAGTTTATCAGGAGATGTGGGTGGGAATGAGGCTGCTGAGCTTCGTCGTGTCTGAGATCAGGAGGCTGATAGAAGAAAGTTCCTGCACCTGCTCACAGTCACCACTAACCAACTGTCCTTGGATTACGCACGAGAATAAACGACAGTCTGCCTGATAATCTGAGCAAGCCGTGTCCGACTGGAACACGGAACAACAGTGTACACTTGTTTAAGTACCGTTAACCTTATAGCATAAATAAAAGTCCCTGTGAGATGCACCCCCCCAAAAAAAGAATGAATAATGCTCTCCATAAAAGTCCACTTATTTAAATGTAATTATCGTATTCTAAATGACTGAATACAAAAACAAAAAATGCCATAAAAAAGAAATGAGTATGACCTGACAGCGTAATAAGGAGTAACCCTACATTTCGAACGCTGACAGCACCGACTAATCTGGGGGAGATAGTAGGAAGAGATTCAAGGTCAAGAGCGACTCCACCCAACCAGAGTTAACTCTCCTTCCAAATGAGGTGATACTGCAGATATCCTCTCGACATTCTTTCTGGTCCTGAAAAACAAAGGCCAAGGATGGTAAAAACCTATCAGCATGCTGGATCTTGGACCTGAGAAGATTATCCATCAGTTTTTGTTGTTGTTGTTTTTTGAGTTGGAGTCTCACTCTGTCGCCCAGACTGGAGTGCAGTGGCCGCTCCCGGCCACCGTAGCCTCGCCTGCTGGGCTCCAGCGATCCTTCCGCCTCAGCCTTCCGAGTAGCCGGAATTACAGGCATGGGCTACCACGCCCGGCTGATTTTTTGATTTATTGTAGAGGTGAGGTCTCGCTGCCCAGGCGGGTCTCGAACCCGTGGGCTCAGGCAATCTACTCACCTCAGCCTCCCAAAGGCACGGGATTACAGGCTGAGCCACCAAGCCCAACTTATCAATCAGTTTTATCAAGATAGTTTTAATTTCATGTCAGAGTGCCATCATTTTCCAGTAACTGGAAGGTAGCTTCCACCTCTCAATGACCTTTCCTTGAAAAGGAGAGGTTTGCCTAGATGCCAGTTGGCCAGAGACAGCACGCTCATTTCCAACAGCACCAGTGTATATTTTGACTATAACAAGTTTTTACTAAAGGTAGTTAGTTTTGTGTAGGAAAGACATCATCTTAAGCACTAAAAGTAAAACGGACTCCTCATGTTTAAGTCTTATCAGAAGACTTAACAAAATGGGTATTCTAATGGTAATAACGCATAAAGTTTTAAATTTAAACATTAAAATCTAGTGATTCTTTAAAAATAAGATTAAGTTTTAAAAGTCAAAAAAGTAAATTCATGCCAGACCAAGAATAAAGAAACCTAGTTAATATTTAAAAGCAGATAAACCTTACGCAGTAAGTTACATTTTAGAGAAAATACTTAAAAACGATCATCAAGACAGTATTAAACAATTCCTATTTTCAGTAATTTATTACATGAGGTCCTTCTTTATTTTGAGTTAGAGTCTCACTCCGTCGCCCGGGCTGGAGGGCAGTGGCACCATCTCGGCCACCGCATCCTCGACCTCCTGGGCTCAGGTGATCCTTCTGCTTCAGCTTTCTAAGTATCTGGGACTATAGATGTGCACTACCATGCCTGGCTAACTTTTTGATTTATTATAAAGAAGAGGTCTCGCCATGTTGTCCAGGCTGGTCTCAAACTCCTGAGCTCAGGCAATCCTCCTGCCTCGGCCTCCCAAAGTGCTGAGAGTACAGATGTGAGCTACAGCCCTGGTCAAGAGGTACTATTTTTAAGGCCAACTTTCAACGTATGGCAAATACTAATACTAAAGCACTCTTTCTAAAATTAACTTTGTATATTTATATACTTTTATGAAAAATGCTATTAAACATACTGTTTTTTAAAATCACCCATACCCCGCCTGCCCACTTGTTATTAGTATTATATCTGAAAATAAATCTGCCTTGATAAGTAAAACTTTCCAAAAGAAAAAAAAACTGGATATTCCTTTTTTTGTTGACAAGAAGCCACTATTGTCCGGGCTCGGTGGCTCAGCCTGTAATCCCAGCACTTTGGGAGGTCAAGTGGATTGCCTGAGCCCGCAGGTTCGAGACCAGCACGGGCAACTTGGCGAGCCCTTGTCTCTGCAATAAATCAAAAACTAGCCAGGCGTCATAGTGTGCACCTGTAGTTCCAGCTACTTGGAAGTCTGAGGTGGGAAGGATCACTGGAGCCCAGCAGGTCGATGCTGGGGTGGCTGTGAGTGTGCCACTGCACTCCAGCCCGGGAGACAGAGTGAGGCTCCAACTAACAAAAACAAAAAAAAAAAATCGACGGTTTATGTTTCTACTCAATTTTGCTTATCTGTAGCTACGGTGGCAATTCAGAGGCATATGTTATCTTTGTCTGCCTAAGGTGAATAAGTTAAATGCACATCTTTTCTAAGTCTCAGATGATATTCTACAAACAAGCAGAAAAGGAAAAAGACATGGGGTCCAAGCTCACGTAAAGATGAAGCAAGTCGAGGCCAGCAATGATCTGAACAGAGAGAGGGAGGAGGGAGGCTCTTTGTAAAGTGTTTCTCAGGGCCTGGTGCTCGTGCTTCTGCACAAAACGCTTCTCGTAATTTCAAACGGAAAAGGCCGATGTTTAGGACTTCTTATGTTTTCCGTAAACCTGATGTTGAAAAATGGGTCACTGGAACTGGTGAACTGCATCATAAAAGACTGAGTAGAAAATCCGTATATTCAGGAAGGAACTATTAAGCAAATTAAGCAAAAATATAATTAACGAGGGTTGTTCTGTAAGAAGCATCGAGGGTTATCATCCGATGAGAATTAAAATAAGGTTAGGGTGAGAAAGAGTTGAAGAGACACTGTTTTTAAAATGACCATCTTACAAGGGTGTGAAAAAGGATATTGAGCGTACGGTTTTGATCAAAACTAGCTACATGTAGTCATTACATGGCCGGAAAGCCTACGTTGTGAGGGTGAGATCTGTTCCAGCAGGGATGGCTTGACATGTATGGACACAGAACTGCAAACATAAATATGTAAGATTCTCAAAGAGGGTCTGAAGGATGGCTTGGTGGTCAGGGTGTTCTTTTATCTGAGAATGAGGATTTAGGAATATCCAAAAGAAAATGCGTGGGACCCTTCGGTGGTGCTCCCTGGAAATGCTGAGACATCGCTGGCCTCTGCGACAGGACAGATGGGCGACTTGGGTTCTAGGAGGAGTCACACACACAGGTTAGGAGTAGGGAGGGTGTGGAGAAGTCAGCTCACTGAGAGCACAGGGCGAGCGACAACTTGGGAGCACTGCCAGGGACTGCTGGAGTCCTGAGCACTGTGCACAACCAGCAGTGACAAGAAGGTGAGTCCTCGGGCGAAGAAAAGTCTCAGATTGAAGAGGCCCTCTTTCCCACTGAGACTCCTGTGGGTGAAGAGGTCAAGAGAGGGCGTGACTCAACAAAAGTGATAGCTGGAGATGCGCTGGTGGGCTTCAAAATAAAAACTTCACTTCAGGCAGCAAAGACTGCCTAAAGTGTAAGACTGTGCTTGGTGAAACATGGCATACCCCAACACGAACTTGAACGTGACACTTGGCAGGCGACGTTGCTTTCTTCCTGTGGTGCGAGGACTTTTTCCCCTGACCATGTCAAAACCCCAAACAAAAACTCACACTGTGGAATCGTCCATTAAAATTCCTTAAGGAACTATGTCACCGCCGCTCTTCTGATTTAAGGAAAGTTGGCTTCACAGTACAAAGATAATCATATTTCAGGAAGACATTTTTAAAGCTTCCATGATAAGTAGCTATAAATGCCAGGAAATCGAGTTGCCTTGACAAAACAATCAAGGGGGAGACAGACAACCAAACGAAGAGTTAGGAGCTATTCTTAAGTGGGGCTGACATACATAAATATTAAGGATATGATATGTTTTAGGAAGCTTCTTATAAAGGCTTTTGTTGTCACTCCACCGATCCCAGACTGTGACAAGGTTTGCAGCCCTGTCCCCTGACTCCCTATGTGTGCCAGCCTTGGCTCATTCCTCCTGGCTCAGGAGATGACATACTTTCTGCGGGGCCCAGGACACGCCCTTGGAACTCATCGCTTCCAGAGGCTTGCTGCTGCAATCCGTCCTCTTCCTATTTCGATCTTCAGCCCATCCTCCTGGAGAAGCAATGTCTCTCCCCTCTGGCCGCCATTCCCTTCCCAGGCAGGACCCAGGGAGCCGCTGGAAGCTGAGACAGCAGCAGGGGCCGACCACCCCAGCCTCCGCCCCCCTGCGCGGTCTCCCGCATCTCCCTTGCTCACCACTCTCTCCTCTCCAGTTTGGCGGACACCTGGGCAGCCACCGAAGTGCTTTGGGCCAAAGTGCAGAAGGCCTCGAGGCTAATCGGCTCAGATTCTCTCTCCTCCCTCCTCTCTTCCCCTCAGGCCATCTTGCTGAGTTCCTTGGACAAAACTCAGAAGGCTTCTTGGACCTCTCCCACCTGCAGGAAGCGCCATCCTCTTCACCAGACTCAAAAGCGAATCTCTTCCC